CCTTATATTTGAATTGTATATGAAATGTATTCAAAATTTAAATGTTGGTACGAATTTTCATCTGAAAATAAAATATTTATAATTTTTATAATTTTTTTTCGACATTAGTTTAAAAAACAAATAATAATCGAACATTTAATATGCCTATAAATAGTTCAACTCGAGTCAAAATATTTCTATAAATTGCTATTGAAAAAAATCGAAGCACTTTTATTGTCCCAAACCGTGATGACAGACACACAAATAAAAACTAAGTAAAAAACATGCATCATATAAACTAAAAAATTTCAAAATTCAAATTGTTTGTAAACAGCAAAATTGTATTAAGTATATGAATTGAAAATATAAACAAATTATGTGAATTTCAAATATCTACAATTATTGGTTTTTTATTATAAAAAAATAAGTAAAAATCACTACATAAGAAATGGAGTGAATATCCAATGTTATCAAAATTTAAACATCAAATGCCTATACAATTTTAATTCGACTTTCCGGTAGAATTTTTTTTTTTTGGTAAAGGCAGACAAACTTATAAGGAATCTTGTATTAAGTTTTAAAAACTTAGATGTAAAATGAAACATTTTAATGAATTTCTAACTCAAAATATTGTGCACATTTTCGTGACTTTTACTTATATTGTCAAAATTCAAAGTTCAAACTCTTATACAAATTTGTTGTCAAAATTGTATAGTTTAAAGAAAACGCCGTTATAAATATTCAGTAAAAATTTCATGTAAAACAATGAAAGAACAATGAAATATATATAACACTAAATTAATAGTGTCCTGTAATAACAGCTAACTTTGAATTTAAAAAAAATTATAGGTTATAAATTAAAATTGTGTCTTATGAGTAATCACTTATAACGGGTATTTCTAAATTAAACCGTATAATGAATGTATATTTCAAGTACTAAAAAATAAGTTATAATTATAAAATTACCCTACGATCAGGGTGAGAAAAACGACGACGACGATCGGCGTTTGTATATTATTTGATCTCTCCTATTTTATGCATTTGCTCTCAGAAATAAAATAATATGTGTGTACATAGGGGTAGCATATTTTTCATAAAATTAAATTTGTATTTAAAAAATAAATTTAAGCACCAAAAAAGTGTGAAACCAAAATTAATTACTTTAAACATCGACGCTTTCAAGCTTCGGCAGAATTCTTGATATTGTGTGTGCACTGCGGAATAAATCAAATATACGACTGAACTTAAGTCTGAAAATATTGAGATTTATTATGAAAAAAAAACCGTACGGATCGCTTCATGTTTCTTGTTCATGTCTGCTAACTGAAATTTTAGATCGATTGCGTCTTTGCAACTACTTCGACAATCGCCACGGATTGCATCATAATTTATACTACGTCAATATGATAAAACCATAGATATATAGTATATTACAAAATTATATATCAAGGAGGTCCGTGCTTGAGATTTGATCATTAAGATATTGAAATAAGGTATAACAATAAACAAAATAGTTTATAATTTTAAAATTTAAATTTTATTACAACAATGTATAAAGTACCTATTATTTTAATTTTTAATTTTTAATTTAATAATTTATTAAGGTGGTGTTTAAATATTCGAAGCACAAGCATATTTTTTTATGAGTTATTAAATAAAAATCTTATTGTAAATAAATGTGATTACTACTTTTTAGATTTAACATAAAGGTATTCAGTGCCCAATGCATCACATTTACCGTACATCGACTATACCAACTATAGTTTGTAAAATTCCAAATTAAATCTTTTCTCTGAATACTGTCGAGCAAGAAATTAATAATTAATATTTTTTGTATTAATTTTGAGTGCATTGGTTAGTTACATTTTAAGCTATTCGAGATTATTTAAAATTTAAGATTTCCTTATTTAATTTCCGATACATATTCAATAATCAGCAGAGTGACTTTTCCAGCTTTATAAAATAATTTGATGTTTGATGTACGACGGCGTCACATTGATTCGCGGTTCGACCACAAGCAGACGGCATAGTAATATTCATATATTACTCAACATTTATATAAACTAAAAATAAAAATTGTTGAATTTTGTGGTACATAAGAACTCCCGTGTACTGTACTACTGCAGTAGTATGACTAGTATGTACAACACTATTTATATCTATTTAATTGTATAAATATGTTATTATTCTACGACCTGGATATGCCGTCGTCGTTTGCGTTACAAGCGTATTTTTTTGTGTTGCGCGCTCGGGAACAAAAAATATGCCCCTACTTTATACCCGGGTAGCAAATTATCTGTGACAATAAATAAAAAGTAAAATATGTAAGCCCCAAAAGAATAGGTAATCAAACTTACGTATACATCGACTCTTCAGGTAATATATAGCTCCAAGTCCAAATCTTGAGTGCAGACGCCATATCGAGGAACTTCTTTCTTCATCTTTCTTCATTTTTTATAAAAATTAATTGAGTAGAATGAAATATGTGAGCAAATGTTTATTGTTGCCTTACACATTTCTCTTTTGTTCAATGAAATTATTAGAATTGTGAATCGTCTCCGACGAGTGACGACGGTCGGCTTTTGCCATAGATGATAGATATTATAATATAATATGTCGTTATCAGTTTTCGAGTTTTTGAATTCTTTGGATGACACGATACATTTTTTATTTCAGATTCCGAAACATAATATTATTCGGAGTGTTTAAATCTATACAATTCAGAACACGGAACTCTGCGTATAGGCCATTTAGATACACTACTGCCGCGAGTCCATTTTTTTTGTCCGGCATCTCACAATATTGTTTTTAGTTAAACTATAAATTAATATAAAACTCTAGAAGTGTCGGGACATGAAAACAATTCATAATTAGGCTTTGAAATTTACAGAAGTAATAAAAAAACGGATTCTTTAATCGTGAATATAATATATTTTCTCTGGGCTCGGCATTAATATGTTATCAAACAATATTATTCTATAATAGTGTGCAGTATTTGCTAAAAAATTGTGTGATTATATTAAACCACTACACTATAGACTATAGTGTAATAAATAATGTAATATATATACAGCCGTGTAGGTATTTAACTAAAATTCTCACATAAAGGTAAGTGACGGGGGAAAAAACCTTATAACCAAGGTTCGGAACTTGTAGCATTTGCATACTTTTTTTTATTTATTGTAAAATGTAGCAGAGTGCGAAATAAATTCATACCAAATCTAAAATTTGAATGTGCATATTTTGCATAGTTCATGCATTTTGCCGGAAACCGCTTATTTTTACGTTATTGTGCTTAATTTGCATAGTTTAGAAAAATTTTCGATATTTCACCTTCACAAATTTCACCCGATCTAAAAAAGAAAATAGTAATGCAATATTTATATTAGCATTTTCCACACATGGTAAAATTTTCCCTGAAAGTAGTGCTGTTGCCATAAGGAATTTTCAATTTATTTATTAGTTGTTTTTTTAACTTTGAAATTGTTGTTCTGACTTAGCAAGCATTGCAGTATAATCGTAAATAGGAAATTTTTAACCTATCTAAAATCGAAGAATCAATTGTTTGATTTAATAAACCTGTTACAACTTTTTTTTAATAACCAATGTTTGTAACACTTTGTAACTTAAATCAACAAAAAAACATAAAATTAAAATTAAACTAAATTCCTAACAAAGTGTAGCATGTTTCTCAATATTTTTTCAATACACTTATACCCAAAAACATATCCAAGATTTCTCAATTTTCTAAGCAGAGGAAAAATATCGAATAACTTTTCTTAGATGAATAGCTAATCTAAATCAATAATCAGGGAAATCATAAAAAGTAAAATCATAAGGGTAGAAAGCATTTTAAATAATGTTTTTTTTTTGCAATTGGTGCTTTTAAAGAAATCCTGGGAGCAAACAGTGGATAAAGTAATAAAATTGGCGAGGTAACAATTGCCACCCCGTGATGACGGTCATGCCAATAATTGAACTGGAGTAATAAATTTAAAAGTTCACTATTGCAGCACCTGGCCTTAAGTCAAAAACCAAACTTTTTGATTATTAAGGTTTACAATTGATTTTGATTACCTTTTACCTATTTTAGCACATAATTACTACGAACAAAAATAATAGTCATAAAATATAAGAAAAAAAGTGTAAATGTAAGAATAATACTTATAAAGATAATAGAAAGAAACGTATTGTAGAATTCAATAATTAACTAATCTACATTTAAAGAATCATTAAACGTTTATGATCCACACAAAATGTTTAAATTATTATTTTCTAGTATGAAAAAATATAACAGTTATATTTGCAAATATTATTTAAATTTATTCTTTAGGATAATTCAAAGACAGTATTAATTTTCAAATTGATATTTTCAATAAAAAAACAAAAACAATTATGATATGTACATATAAATAAATGTATATTATGTAAATACAAAAAAAAGTTTAAAATAAAAATGCGTAATATTTATACAATGTTAATACTGGACAATTTATTATTATAAGTGAATCGAGAATTTAGGTACATAAACCTGTTGTAGTATGAGTATAAAGCCAAATCAATAATTCATTTTTTTCTCACGCATCTTTAATGAGTTCTCCGATTACAAATGCTCAGGCAAAATCAGTCGCGTCAGTCAACACTGACCGAATTAATATTAAAAAAAAAAAAAAACATTAAAATATTATAATAAATACCACTAAAATTGATTTTAAGAACAAAAGAAAAAAAATAGTTATCGTGTAAAAATCTTCACACGTGATAGTAACGAGGATGTGAACCACGTTTGTCTCGGTGTAGTGTAGGTGAAAATATTATTGACTAGATGAATTCCACGAGAAAGTTGAAGAAAAAAGTTTTCAATTTTCCACTTTAATAGAGCTCGACGGCGCTACAGAATCTTTTGAGACAGGAGTATGTAAATTCTCAGTTGACTGAAAGCAAGAAGACAATCGAATGTTTAGCAAAGTATTACCATGGTACGGACTTAAAACATGATAAACTCACCTCTATGAGATGATCGAGACCGAACAAGAAGCCCTCCTCGTGGTTGCCAGGCACCCATGGTCGCCTGTGGGTAAGTACTGTGTGCTCTGGTACGTGTCTTGTTTTGGCAAAGTCAATCAGCCAAGCACCGATTTTAGTATCGTCGTAAATGATCAAGATACTGCTACCGACAATCTGTAATAAAACATTGATTTTATAGGTGATCGATCGAAAAATACAACAGAAAGTCTTCGTAACGCGAGTCTCCCAACTTACCTCGTGAGTTTTAAAATAATGAGAACGATCCAATTTCGACCTTATCTCATTCAGTCTGGCAACCAGCCTCTGTTTGATGTCATGGCGGTCGCCCAGGAACAAAGCAAGAGTGTTATTCACTTCTTCGTCGCTCTTCACAGTCTTCAAGTCCGTTACGGGAGGAGATCCTCGAAACTGTAACGTCATAGCAATAACAGTCAGTACGGTCAACCAAAACAACGGCAAGACATTTTTTAATGCACAGGTAAACGTAGGTATATATTTACCTTCATGGCTTCAATTCTAAAACCGTGACTGCACGTTGAACTCTGTTCTTCTCTAAACTGCATGTATTGCAGTTTTGTGACAGCTTGCAACTCGCGTTCTTCGGCATTCGGTGCATCGGGGTCCACGGCGATCATCTTGATCAAAAAATAAAAATAAATCGTTATAGCACATTTCTCGTTACTGGCATATAGATCGCAATACACGCGAAGATAATACATTATTAGGTATAGATCGCGCTCTCACCTTGAGGTACAGGTCTTGTCGCGCCGAAGAGTTTTTCACTTCGGACTCCAGGAACGTGCGCGTGCCCATCTTGATGTCCATGACGTTGGGATCTCGGAAGCCGTACAGCAAGTCTTGCAGCTCGATGAACGTTTGTCCGTTGTACTCGACTTCCCTGTAATACTTGGGCACGATGTCCTGAAGACTGGGCTCGTTGGAAAGCGCTTCGTACACGTCCCGTTCGGTGCCGCCACTGCACTTCTTCCATATCGTGCCCAGGCCGGCAGGAGCGAAACAGTCCGGATGTCCGGACAGCTGGAACCACGACTGTTGTTGTGGGACGCCCGTGGTCGACCTACAAGTCGCCGACTGGACGTTGGCGGCCACGGTTTCTTGAGACTTGTCATTTCGTACTTCGGGATCCGCTACGGTCCCAGCTGTGGTCGTGCTGTTGTTGCGCAGCAACACATCGCTGGCGGGTGCGCTCAACTCCAGAGCGTTCTAAAAAAATATAACCCACACTATATCATCCCGCTGATAATTTAAACCTCAAACGGTTTTTATATGATTAACGAGTATGTTATATACATACCAACGCCAAGAATTTTAACAGCGAGTTTTCTTTCTTGTGGTTCTTTTTGGCTGACGAAGTCACAGAATTGCACTGCGTGCTCTTCCATTCGTTTTCGGTTTGCTGAAAAATAAAAATAAAAATTCCAAACATTATTATTATGGCAATTGCAAAACCTTAATGAACGAATGCGTTCGTGTCGAAATAAACTAAATGCATTCTTATACAATATAATAGGAGTGGTACGTATAGGGAATATATTTAGCCACGTCGGCGTACTATATTGATTCTCAACACTGTCAATTTCCGCTTTTTCTCGTCCAAAATAAAAATACACACAAAGCAATAACATATATACCTATACACGTATATAATAGACTGTCGCCTCCATACTAATGAACACACATGGCAAAGCCCTTGGAATTCTAATAACAAAATGCATATGCGTTTTACCGACAAGATTCATACGGTCAAGGTAAACCTCATATTTTATGTATACTAAATAGTCGTGAATTGGATTCATCGTAAACATTAATATTATATTTTTTTGTTACTTTTTATTTTTTTTTAAATTTCGTTCGTCATTAAATCCACCCAAATAACGAGCAAATATATACGATGCGCCAATTCAAATAATGATTGTCCGATCGACACAAAATTTTTATTTTCGTTGCCCATTGGCACGTAAAAACTACGAGTTTCCAAAACGAAGTGGTCATCAGTCACGTGGTGACGTGGAGTTTAATGTGTACAATCGTATTATTGTTATTGTTACTGTTCACAAGAACCCCTAGGAATGCTCGACGAAAATGATGTTATGCCAAGAATAATAATTAATCGTTTTCAAAATCTATTTTTAAACTTATTTGCAATCGCTACCGAGCCGAATATAATATAATCTATCGATAGGCACTCAGTATACTCATGAATTTCATCACAGAACGTGATCGAATTACCAATAGTCATAGAAAGGTGTCGCCTCTGTTGGTTTGGAGACTCAGTAGCGTGAATAGTATTAAATATTAATGATATTATAAATTATAATAGTCCATTTTCTGTCTTGAACCATAAACGAAATAGGGTTTAAAATTAACTTATACGAGACATTATTTATTACTTAATGACTTTTGTGCAAACCAACATTAGAGAACAATTATTGTTATGTCAGCTAAATATTGTTTAATAACTCCGTACGATTACACTTATTTTTCAACTACTATAATACCTAGCACGAGTAATACGATTTGAGTAATTTATCGACCATAGTTTATATTTTGTCTGTAGTTTTGTATATAACTGCTACTAGCGGCCTGTGTTAAGTGCTGGTTACCACTGAGAATAATATATGTTATCATAACGCAAAATGTTTATTTTACTTGTGACAAACAAAATGGTTAACCTGAGGTAGGTGTTTTTGTAAAAACCGTGGTATGCAACGTGCACAGGTCTCGGTTACAGCCTCGAGCATATCGGAATGGAGACTTGCTGCGGACTTGTGTAATTATAAGTGGAAATAAGAGGCTATTGGCTGTTATTATATATTGATGCAATGACGGAGTTGGGCACTGGCCCTACAAACTCGCGGTACTAGTTAATAATCACTTTATAATTTAGTATAGCCATCAGCCTGGTAGTACAAAATAAATATAAACACTTAAAGTTGAGTATTCAAAAACATGCATGTATATAAAGTACGTATCAGAGGGTACTCCTATGTTCAATATGGACTATGTGTTAAGACAGATCATAAATTATAAAATATGAAATATTAACTTGGCAAATATGATTATACAAACAACAAAACTATTTAAAAGTAGTCGTTAAAATGTTATTATTTCATTAACCTTCCACTATCATTACGATAAAAATGTTCGTGGTCAATTTATTCTTAATAGAACTTTCGATGTTCGAACCCACAAATAATTCTGATTATATTATAATATTAAAATATTAATATACTATACAATTGAAATAAACGAATCCAAAATGCATAAGCATACGGAATTTAATCATTACAACAAAATAAAATGTTAAAATCATAACAGCAATAAAGGATTATGACTAAATAGTTTGTAGAAATATTAAATTAAATAAAACTTAAAATCCAATAAAAATGTTACCTAGTAAATTACCACAATCCAGAATAAACCATTCACATACTAGCAATCATTAATAATTTAGCTAATAATAAAATTATTTAGTAATTTTGTATTTTACCACACTGCATTACGGATGCATAAATTTTGCTTTAAATGTAGGTACGAAATGAACGAACAAAATACAATATAATAGTTTTAAATACACATCCAATTATAAATAAAAGCCGAAACGTCAACCTTTGATCTATTAATGAATGTTACAAATTGTATTAGTTTACACTATACACCTATAGTGTTAGAGAAACTGTAGCTAATAAAGAAGCAACTATAAAAAAAAATTAATAATATAAACATTTAGGTAGATTGAAATGTGTCATAAACGCACGTGCATCACTTCTGTGCGATTATTTTCGAGTTCACAATAACGAATAATACCTATCTATGCATTGTAAATATCAGCAGTCGGAAGTACAATACGATTGCAAGCTGTGAGAAATAAACAATAAAGTGACGACTGACGTTGTTTCACGTTTTCGAAGACTATATAGACTGAATTACATGTAGATGTAGAATAATACAAAATATACAACGAGGAAATGATCAGTATGCCATGGGGCAGCAGCATGTGTGTTATATCAAATTCACTTCAAAAGAATGTACCTCAAATCTGAAAAACAATGATAATAACAACACTTACGTATTCGCCAGACGAAAGATTTCAAAAGATATTAATTAAAATAACTTTACAACGTTGAACACGTGTAGTGTGAATATTAATGAATAATAGTAATAATATAAACAGCACCGCATAAGTATAATGTATATGATATATCATCGGATAGAATGATATAGGGACCAGCGACAACGATATGATAATAGAACAACCAAGGTTATAAATTACTATTTTTTGTTATACTTAACGAAAAAATGTTTGACGATAACAAAAATGATTTAAATGCACTTTTGGGTTTGCGGTCAAACGAATGAAACGAAAACAAAAAGGTAAATTGGAGGTGAACAATAATATTATAAAATCACCTTTCACGTGAGCAACACGTTCATGTGGAAAGATCAATAAATAAATATATAAATACATAATATATAGTGTGATAAGAAACTATGCTCTGGTTATGAAAATATACCGGATAATATAACTCGATCGACACAATATCAGCATTTATTATTATAATTTTTTTAAAAATAAAATTATAAAATAATCTAATATCCACCAGACAGGTGTCAAATGTCAATATAATAATATAGTTCGTAACCGATACATTTAAATTTTCATCAAAACTGAACGAATCAACTATTTGCAGCCAAGCCAATATTTTTGAATTAGCAGTGATATAATATTAAAATTTTAAATTTCGAAGGATTCGTGCAACCCTAACGGTCTTTGTTTATAAATATGTACAGCGGTTGTCTGTTAACAGAGGATGTCAGCGCGCCATTTATTTTCTCTCTTTGATCTACTCGCACCATAGCAAATTTATGTTTAGCAGAACCAACCCAAATGTGTTGACCAATTTTGGTATGTTGAGAGCGGGTCAGAGAGATAGAGAGAGAGAAAACAAATAGTGTGCTGACATCCTCTTAACACTAGATAGGATAATAATAATAATAATTATTATTTTTATTATTACTATAGTGTGTATATATGTAGGTAATTAAAAAATTATTAATATTCAAATTTAAATTTTGTATTTATGCATACAATTGTATGTTAAATTCTCTATATTGACTAACTCGGGAGTTGGGATAAAATATGCAGTTCTGTTTATTCAACACTGCATGACATTTAAGGTTAATATACTTTCATATGATGGTAATACACAATAAATAAATCACTATATTTTAAATGTATTTATGCACTTTAGCGCGTTTAGAAAATTTTAACAAGACGCGTTATATTTAAATTTTTAAGACGATGAACTTAATTTCAGTATATAAGTATATTTATTTTAATTTGACGATTTTAAATTCATTCGATTTAACACCTTCATTCAGACTCACATTAAACTCGATATAAAAATTCTAAATGACTTTCATATTGAAGTCCGTGTGTACATATTATGTGTGTGTGCAGTACGTGTGGCTGTGCGAGTAAGCTTACCAAATATTATTTATATACCTAATGTATAACAAACGGTGCAATGATCGACATGTATGTAATACGAGTATCGTCTAATTAGAAGTACGTCAGGAACGATTCTGTAATTTAAAGTTGGGATGTTTTTGATTTAAATAAATAAACATTAAGACCACGATGACCCCAGGTGTTTACACATACAAGACGATTAATTTTATAATATTAATAAGGATTCTATAGACAACAATAGTCAATAATAACCATACGCCGATAACCACTAACCGATCTTCTCCTCTTTCGACATGTTCTTTTCGAAACATATCAATAACATACTGCGTGTTGAAAGTGCCTCTATGAAAACTATTTTATATGCAGTCGTGCAAAATGCATTATAAGTAAACGTTTTATGTTTTGACGTCACAAGACATTTCAGACTTAACATACTTGATTTATTTTTAGAAATTAATGCCGTTTGTATACGTTGCGTTTCAGTGTATTACTAAACAACAATTTTACAGTAAAACTGAATTTTTATGGCGGTACACTCTTAACAAATATTTTTACAATTTTCACAATTTATTTTCTGTAGGTAATAGTTGAACGTTTATACAACCAAAAAGTGATACTTGAGTGAAGTCAAACGCACAAAAGAATCAAAAAGTGGTGCAATTCCATTATTTGCAGAGGCCACTGACCTCGATGGACTTTCTCTTTATCATCTGATCGGAGACGAGTTTCTTTAATTCCTTAGTTTTCTATCCAATACCAATGATATTCATAAAATTCTTATTAAAGACACAGTTTGTGAAGAAAAAGAAAGTACATTTCGTTAAGTAACACCTATAGTGTTGCTCTACATATTATTAAGACTTACTTATGTCGTTTAAGTCATTCAATGATAGCATTTTATAAACACCAAAAAACTGTTATAACTGTCTTATAAAATTTAACTGACTAATGAAGCAAATACAATGTTTAAATGATTAGTTGCGATTTTAAATTGTAACTTATGTCATAAACAATTGATCAGAAAAAAATACTTGGTAGTAAATACAAATTTAAACGTAAAATTAAATACTAAATGCCTAAGAACCAAGTACACCAATTTTGACTAATAGTAAAGTATTAGTAAGTACTAAATAATCGAATAAATAATTTAAGGAGTAAGATTAAAGGTAAGATTATTATTTCAAACAAAAATAAAATACCTATATACTTCGTTAATATTTTTTTCGATTGAACATACTGTACATAGGCGGCCATTTAGTTGAATTGGTAGGAGGGCTAAAACAATCCAATAATGATAAAAAATATCATTCGAATAGTTTTAATTTTGAGGGGTCTACTAACATTTCTAGGGAGTTAGACCCCGCTCCTCCCGATGTCCGCCTTGGTACTGTAGCAGTAGTACTGTAAGTCGAACTTTACACATTAACATTGCATATTATTAAGTAAATTAAATAATTTATAAGTTAGGAATAGGTAAATAATAAATATATATAGTAAAAGACTAACGAAAGTAAAAATCAAATGCTGATACATACCAAATACTTAAAATTATTAATTAATAAATACGAAGTTTATTTATTTAATATACTTCACTAATTTATAAATACTATATCAGTTATAATTTTATACTTATAAATAAATGTTTTAAAAATATAAATGTACAGACACATCGTTTAAATATATAAAATATGCACACACATATTATAATGAAATAAAAAAAAATCGATTAATGTTGTATTAAAATTTTGAGATAACAAAGTTGCATTTATCAATGTACATAAAAATATGGCGAAAAAAAAATAAATAGGTAGTAGATATGTTCATTAAAAGTTTAAAAGTTAATGTAGGTATATAAAATATTATTTTATACAATCTTAAATTAAATAAGCGGTAGTGGAATTACCCGTCTAAAAAGATTTATCTAACGAACTATAACTAATTCCACCTGAAATGACGTATGTATAATAATTTTTCTAAAAGAAAAAAGATATTTATCATTTATAATTTGAAAATAATAAAATACCAAACCCGGAATTTAACTCTTAGAAATATAAAATGATGCCTATATCTTTTTGAAGTTCAACATGTTTTTGAAGAAATTATGGGATTTTCAGATTGTAAAGTTTGAAATATATTTTGAAATTTCATCAAATTTCAAAATTGTCAACTACAACAATAATAATAGGTATAAGAGTTAGGTTGGTATATAGTAGTAAAATACTACTTATTTGTTACTATTAAATATAAACATATTTATATAAGTACCTAATAATATAAATATAATATTTAATTGTACTACCTATTAAGTTACTTAAATAAAAAAATATATTTGTAATATAAAAATAAGTTTTTGGATGCTTGATTTTTTCTTATTATTAAATTGGCATCCAAGTTACTAGAAGTCATACAGATAGAAAAAAGAAAATTAGCCTTCCCTTATAACGCATATTATATAAATATCTACCATTTACCAAAGAACCATAATATGTTTCTATATGCCATATACCCACAAGGCTCTGATGACGTAAAAAACCATATTGCATATATTTTTGCATTCAGTTTTATCATTAATTAGAAAATGTCATTAATTTGTGACTGTCATTATTATTTGTGATTATCTATGGTAATTTCCAACATACTATTGTATTATAAAACAAGTATTATTGAGTCTATGACGGCAATACGGCATGACACATTATGCTTAACTTAAAAGTTAAAGTTATAAAACAATTAAAATCTGTTTTCAAGACTGATGTATTTTTGTTTTTAAAGAAAACACAATATGTACTAATACAAATAAAAAAGTCCTATTTTCATGAGAATATTATGGATAGGTTTCTCTAATAGTACCTACTAAGGTTACATTTTACTTATAATTGTAATTCCATTAAATCCCGTTAAATCATTATCCTTCGTGCTACTGTAGTTATGTTATCAAAATATTCAGATAGTCGATACAGAATATTATACTGTTGTATAATTAAATTAAAATAGTCGAGACATAAGCATTGTACTGTTATAAATTATAATTAACTCATGTTACATAATAATATATATTATAAACCAATGACCATAAACTATGGTACGAATGCACATGATTCGAATAATTAAAGCCTTTATGACTTTATAGTTTATATAATACAGTAGGTATTACCTCTTTTACTAACTACCTGTTTAACAGCACGTGAAACTGCGAAATTGACTTTTTTCAGCAACATTGCATACAAACAACGATACATTTATTATACAGTTTTAAGAAAATTTAGAACATGATAATATATTAATAATAAATAATTATATAGGTAGATGAAGACGATTTATATAAATATATTATAAATTAACAGACATTCTAAGACAATAATACTTAATGTATTCAGGTTGATTATACAACATTCGAATTTGTAGCTTGTTAAATAGGTACTTGAAATTTGATGATCTGATATAAAATATGCACCTTTTAGGTACCTATTGCTCATATTTAACAATTTTTAAAATGATTTTATAATATAATTATGGGCATCAAACCAAATATTTTAATAATAAATTTAAGATCTACATTAAAAATATAATATAACATTAACAGATAATGTAAACAGATTATAAGAAATAATAGACCTCAATTTAAGTTTATACGCTAGATAGTGGTCATCATAATTAGGTATAAGTTGAAAATATCTTATTATTCAATAATATATCATAACTACGATGGACTTCCGGTAGGCATATGAATTTATATCTTATATTATCATAAATTGAAATATAAATAACATATTGCACAGTGTAGGTTAAAGAATAGGAATCGGTACTGAATAGGTTTTATAATAAATTTAATAACCCAAGATTTATTGACGAACTGGAGTTTAAGGGATGTAGTTATATCAGTCGATAATTCAATATAAGATCACACATCTATTCCAAAAAGTACAGAGGACGACATAATAAATTCTCAACCGACAATCGAAAGTGGCACAAGCATACGATTTACGAAAAAGTCAAATTATTTATCATGTTTCATGTAGGTACAATGCACATAATAAAAAGCTTCAATGCGTATATTGACATAATATAAAAAAAAGTAATTAACAGTCAAGGTTTTCGTCATCCAACGAGTCTATTGTTTTAAGGAAAAAAAAATTAGAAAAACAAATTTAAATAAAAACGTGTACTTCATTATTTCGGTTTAAAAACTAACGGCGATCTCGGGCCGACGAGTCCTTGTAAAGACGTGCAGCAGCGATCAACACCGTTGGGAGTACATCGGAGAAATGGCTATCACATAATACTATTTTAATAGATCGTAGGTATCATACGATTCAATTCAAGGGAACTCCCGACCGACGAAACGGATAGATAATCGATGCACGAGCGTCGTCGCTGACATCACTGACGAGACCGGATGTGTTTATTTTAAACAACGGACCTGGTCAAAATTCCAAATTGTGTACTTTGTAGTCAGCGGGAGGCCCCGTAGACGCGTGTTTCTCTGTTTTTAATATTTTTTTGCTGAACACGCGGCGATCGCGAGAGAAACGAAGATACGCACCGTTGCAGCGAAGGAGCCAGTGGCGTTAACATTGTCGTCCAACGAACAGACAAAATATAATTATAATATTACATGCGTACTTGTGATAATTGTAGCAGGTACATAGTATCTGTACGGCTATACTACCCGGAACACACATAATATCGTACATAAAAATATGAAAAAATTTGCGCGCGTAATTATAAATTGTAGAGAAAACAACCGAATAATCGTATCGCTGTGTAAATTTCAAGTTTATAAATACACATTTTTAGTATGGGTACATATAATATATTATACATGTATATTTATTTAAAAAACTTGCGAATATGATTAAATTAACATATACCTAGTCTATATATATTATCAGATTAGCGCGTGGTGTTATGCAAGAACCAAGGCTAAAATGTGTATACTCTACGTATAATCATATTAAAATAATCTAAAGGCGGTTGTTTTATAACGCATCGTTTTTTTTTTAATGAACATTATTTAGGGCACGTCAGTTTAGCGGTTTGTACCGAAATTACGGTCGGCGATATTGTAATTTAAGTATAAGTCACAATGTCACATACCTGTTGAACGAGGTTGCTCATCGCTGAAGTCAGGGGACTCGTGCGTACATCAATAGGTACGTGTCAGTTATTTTAATTTAAAGGCACGTGGAAATACTAAATACTAATAACCAAAATATTCTATATAGGGTACACTCTCTGCACCTGTTAGATTTGCACTATACCGCGGTCGGCATGCTACAATGCCAATATAATATATTTATTACAATAAAATATTATACAGGTGATCCTGGCCACGGCGGTGATGGGAGGGGGTGTTTAAAAATAAAGCTTTTTTGGGTATTTACCGCGATAGTAATAATTTACTTGCGCGCAATCATGTATTAATAATATAATAATAATTAATAATCGTTCGCACATCACGACTGCTGCAGTTGTATCACGCACCCAGAATAAATAATAATAACGTGCAACCCAACGAATTTACAAACAGTAGGATTATGAATTATGATAATAATGAAATCGCGTCAACTCACTTTGCCGGACATAAGTTTTTCCAACTGTCCGATGGCTTTGGAGACGACGGTGAACGAGTCGAAGAACGATTGTCGGCTGGCCACAGGGCACACGGTCATGTCGCTCATTCTCATATTATATTTCTACGTTTGAATAATTTTTTTTCTCACGAAAACGAGACACAAAATCGCATCGGCGGCAACAATCGGAAAAGATAATAATAATAGTATATTATTATATAATATTATCGGAACGTGTTTTCGAACAGCACGCGGTTATCGCGCTACGGACAAACACACTCGACACTCGGGGATGATGGATCGAGGGAAAAACGACCGATATTATTAAAACTGTGGCGACCGCGATAGGTAACGAACTGCAGCTGACGATCGAATAGTGAACGATGCCGGTTACAATACCGGTGCATAGATGCGATTATTTGTCGATGACAGTGTGATAACCGCAATTTAATTATTATGCTAATAAACAATATTATTGTAAAAAACACAAAAAAACTGGCAAGCGCGCGTCGTCGACGGACCGTGTTCGTGGCGGACGCGTACGGGAATGGAAGACCCAAACAAAATCCAATCCAATAGTATAGTGGCAGAGTTCGTGAATCGTGACCAACGCTGCGGCACACGCACGCGTGTAAAGGTGAAAATACGAACGATCGGCTGGCGTGGGGCGAACGGTTTCCCCCTCCCCGAAGACGACCGCAAACGACTATTATTATTGTACACGTATAGTATACATAAATAATACGTATATATATATATATATATATATATATATATATATACACACACCCATTACTACTGGCTCGTTTTAGGTCATCTAAAAAAAAGCGTGCGGACAGTAGCGGAATATTTATATCGACTATCAATATTATTATTAAGGACATGCTATATGGTAAATAAGTATATAACATATTATATTATATGCATGTGCAATAATATAATATTATTGATATTGATATGTTTAGTTCATTAATAACTATACTACTATTGTTGGCTGTTGTACTATCTGTTGTTTATAAAAATGTCGTTTGTTATTGTTTTTGGCTGGCGTAATATTTATTATGATTTTTGAAAGCAACGAATGTTTTTACCACCCAAGTACCGTATTATATAATTTATGTGTATGAGTCCCGTGACCGTTTTGGACACAGATGAAGTTTGATACATACAAATTGATACAATTCCAAAAGAAAAATGTAGCGATTGAATTTTAATATTCTACGTACCTAACGACATAAACGTAAAATTGTGAAAATAAATATCAGTAAGCTTAAAATGAGTAGTTGAATAAAAGTAATTGAGAACTATGGTTGGAATTTTAATGGGGAGAAAATAAACAATTAACGACAATCGTCAAAACCACAAAAATTTGTAAATTATTTTGTAGTTTAAAATCCATTAAAATTTTGATTTCAACACTTAAGGCTTGTTGTAAATGGATAATAATTCAAGATTTCACATAAGTCAATTTTGCTGGAATTAAAAAAATGACCATACTCAGATTGCCCAATGTTTTTTTTTTTGTTACGAATAAATCTTTAGCTATTAATTTAATGCATACTACTAGATTAATTATTAAAATTATAACTACTTAAAAATATCATATCATTAGAACTTTAAATAATCCTATAACGATTCAATAGCATTCAATTAAAACAATATTAAAATCTAAATTAAACATAATAGATGATCGTATTATGACATCAAGAATTAAACGATAAAAAACTTAAGTAGTTATTAAATAATATAAAGTATTAAAAATTAAAATACAAAAATACCGGACACATAAGTAGATTGTATGTTGACTATTGAGTATTTATCTCATTTTTTCTAAACTCGGTGAAAGTGTTGTGAATCGTGGATATTTAATAAATATACAAATATATTGACATATATGTTTAATAATAACGAAATATTAGACGAATGAAAATAATAATATAGATTTTAATTTTTTACGCTTGAGCCATAACAATTATAACAATTATAAAAATGGAAAATGTTTGATCACGTTTTTATGATATAGATGTAATATTAGTAGTAATATGTGTAGGTAATGACATAATCTAATTTTTCAAGGTTAAACATTTTTTAATTTTGCAAGGTTATAATTATAATAATTAATTTTTTTTTCAATTGTGATCAGTTAGGTGACATAAGTATCAAGTTTATATTTTTAAAGATTTCATAGTAAACAAATTAAATTATAGTTTTAAAATAATAATAATAATAATACAAATATGGGTATCTTAAATAATACCTAACTCAAGGAAATATAGAATAGGCTACTTTAAATAAAAATATAGGCGTACAACTGGCACCCAACTCAGAGGGCGATATCGATACTTCTTCAACTACTCAAAGAGACGAACCGGATGAAGGAAATATATAACATATACACATATACACATAAACTAAGCATATTGTAATTAAATTAATATAAGTCTTTAAGATATCATACTAAAAACATGAAGTTAATTTTTTCAAATGTCACATTTTATTTAGAAACGCCAATAAGCCTAGGAGTTGAGACGTAACGTAAATAAAAAAAATTAGAGTCAAAATAAAATAATATTCTATAAAAATTATGATAATTTTTACGTCATCTATAATCTATAAACGTTATTAATTTAACTATCAAACCCTTATGGGCTCTATGTGGAGTAAATAAGTTTTTATTTGAATAGTAATATAGTATACACTATGATAAAACACGATACGTAGTGGGGTACACAAAAATGCAATCTATATTACTCTCAATTTTATAATACTATTGTATAATAAATACAGATTTAGGAATATGATTCCGCACGCTAGCGAGTAGGACTAAAAGATTATATCAATAAATAGTTCATAGAAACACAAGACAAACATTTTTGAAGGGGGAGGGGCCAAGATGTTATATGTCTTTAATTTTATGACGAAAAACGTGTAATTAGGTGTACCTATATTTGATGATTATTCGGGAGACTTTTGGGTGACTCAACCCTAGGTACTCACTCTTTTTCTTTCAGCCCTTAAAAGGCATAATATTATCTAGTAAATATGTTTAATAATTTTAAAGTATTTATGCGTGTAATCAAAAAAAAAAAAACAATAAGTCACATTTATTATTAAAATTTTTAATTCTAAACTAATTTAAGTAACCTAATCACCATAATTCATAGTTATAAATTAATATTAATCTATAAATTGATAACTTGTGTATTGATAGTATATATATTAAAATAAGATTAACAATATTTTTTTTCTTTTGTTTTGCTTATGTAAGTATGTAAATTAGCACACCATATTTTTGTAGTTAGATTAGACCTATTTGCTTAGCCAGTAAGCCGAACCTTATTAGTTATACATATTTGTAACTACTAAACCAAGTATACATAAGAAACACTGATTTGTCGGATAAATAATTAAATAATTATATTTGTTTATAATCGACTACATATTTTGTTTGCAATACATTATACTATTTGTACATACATCATAAAACAAAAACCTAATTAATTAGTGACTACGAATATAATTTTATACTTTGAAATACCTCTATATTTTTACAATTAATTGCTACCCATATTGTGTTTTAACTTATAAGTACCTACTGTATTTTAAATACCTATTAAATGACTTTTGTTAAATAATAATTGTTTATCATTAAAAACAAATTATGTACATATTTAACCATTTAGGTGGTTAGTATATTTTTAAAAAACCCTATGATAGTTGAAACTACAAAAGTTTGTTTAGGAATTTAGAGAAATATAATATAATATATGGATGTATATATTTAAAGTACCTATTTGATATTTTATGAGTTAATGAATTCATCAGTTTTCGCTGATAGATGATCTGATTATTTATATTTTCAAGCATTACCTGTCTAATAAAGTTTATTTATTACATATGGATATGCTGTTAAAAATAATAGACTTTATACAGCGACTAAACTATAAATAGTTTTTGGAAATAATTGCATTATTATAATTTATGGTCGATTTCCTTAAGCCGTTAAAAATTATAATATGCTAAAATATTAAATAAAAATAGACAGGAAGTACTTAATACGCGGTAGGTATAAAATAATTTTCGAAACACCCAAGAGAAAAACGTCGGTGAGATGCATTCGTGAAGCCCTGCAACTACCTGTGTACGGCGATGCTTATTGATTAAAACGATACAAGTTATTATATTTGGTAAGCTCCAATCGACTTTCTATTTAAGAACGTAGTCTCAATTGTATGAGACATTAGTGCAGCAGTATTTTTAGTACCTACGTACAAAACTCTAAAGTGGAGAAAACAAATCAGTAAACAATAAAGTCTCTCGTAAATCGTAATAATAGTTTTGTGGTGGGCAGCATGGGCGAGTGGTATACTGCATGTTCATATGGAGTACCTATATGGTCATAGTCATATGGATGATCAGTTATCGAAAGTTTGTCTGTATTATGACGAAATTAAAGGACTTCCTCTCAGTCAACCATTGTGAAGTCGTGGCATATACACGTGCGATTAACTACGAACGAGCCACCATTGTCATTGCAAACATGTTGTGAATAGGAGATAATGCAGGTACTACTTGTATAATAGTCGTTCGTATCAGCCAACATGAACACGTTTAAACTTTACTGAGCTTTGCTTAGTTGTCCAATATTAGACGAGATAAATGTACATTATGTATTGTGTAGGTATTGTGATTTATATGTATTAATAAATATGATAGTATTGGCATGGCTAAATAATTTTAATTAATAATTTTAATAAATTATAATTAAGTTATTTATCACGTTATTGAATATTATATTATAGTATATAAGTTGGTGTACTAATAAGACATAATCAATGTCTTATAGAAATGTATCTTACTCTAGTCTATAACTAAATATATACAATAATTTATACTTGAAAAAAGTGGGGCAAATCAAAAAGCAATATATCGATAGTACATCATGACGTTTATTCAAATTTGTTTTTTTAACGGTTTTGTGTGTATTTGTAAGTATTAAGTATAGAGACAAATATAGTACTATCATATAGATATAATGGTTTACTGTAGGTATCTATGCACGCACATAAAATATTTAATTACGAACTTCATTCGTAATTTTTAAATTTATGTATTAAAGATAAAAAAAAGTAGACATATATATTTATGAATAAATAAAATACAATAAATTAATTTAAGTCACACTATTTTAATAATCATTGTACAAATATTGCATAAAAAACAAATTGGATTTACTATAAATGTTTAATACATTTTTTATTTACAAATCATTATTTATAATTATTATACATGACGTAATAACTTATACCACGAATGTACAAAATAGTACCTTATTTTTCTTTGATTTCTATAATGGAATATTTTTATATGGTAAAATTATAATATATTTTAATAATTATTATTATGTGACTATTTGTTATACCACCTAGCTATATTAAAAAACTTAAAATCGTTATCCATAGGAATTGTTTTTTTATCAGCATTTGGTGTTTAAAGTTTGTAAAATAAAGCACGTGAAATGTATCAATTTAACGAAATACGACACCAATGCGTTGACAATTTTTATTTTGATACTAAATATTTAAATGAGGAATTTTT